CTAGATGCATGTAAACATGGCAAGATAAACACCAATAATTCATACTGTCATCGTGCAAGAGGGTCCGAATAACTGTACCTAAGTGTTTCAAACGCATAGCGATGCAGGGGGGGTGAAATTGCAAGTAAACACCCATATTACATATCTTATCACATGCTAATAGCGGTTCCGAATAAGTGTTCCAAGTGTTTAACCCTAATGCATTAGAAATTGGCAAAGTAAACACCATAGTTAATATCTTGCCATCATGCAAGGACGGATCTGAATAAGTGTCCCCCGAGTGTTCGAACCCTAATGTCTGAAAAATTGTTAGTGAACCACCATATTAACATATGTCGTACGTGCAGATGATCCGAATACGTGTCCGTGCTGTTTAAACCCTAATGCATGCAGAAACGCAAGTAAACACTCATAAATACAATCTGCCACCATGTCGCAAGTGTGGTTGCGAAATAAGTACGAGGTGTTCGAACCCTATACGATATGAGAAATTGGCCTGTAAACACCATAATTACATCCTCGTGCCATCATGCAAAGGATCCGAAATACAAGTCGTGTGTTTAAACTAATGCATGAGAATGGAAATTAAGCACCATAACACATATTTGCCATCTTGCAAGAGGTCCGAACGAAGTGTTACTGTTGATCGAATCGCGACATTGCATAAGTAAATGGCAATTAAACACCATAATATAACTATTCTCTTCATGCAAGAGGGAGTCCATTGGTATGAATAAGTGTCACATGTTTAACCCCTATAATGCATAGAAATGCAATGAACACCATAATTGCATATCTTCAATCACGCAAGAGGGTCCGCAAAAGTGTCTGAGTGTGAAACCTAATGCGTGAAAATTGGCAAGTAAACACCTAATTACATATACTCTGCATCGTGCAGACGGGCCGAACAAGATGACTAGTGTCTTCGAACGCTATAAGCATGGAAAATGCAAGTAAATACCATAATACATATCTACCATAATGCAAGAGGGTCCGTAATAAGTATCCGTGTTTAAACCTAATGCATAGAGAATGCAAGTAAACACCAAACATACATATAACATCATGCACAGAGGGTCTGAATTAAGGTTACTGTAGGTTCCCTGTAATGTCTGGAACGAGTATTGTAGTACACTAACCAGTTTGAATTTACAATACCACTGTAAGAATGACTCGAATACGTTATTCATGTGTTTAAACCCTAATTGCACTGATAAATGGCAAGTAACATCATAATTACATATCATCCATCACACAAGAGGTCCGAATAAGTGTCCGAGTGTTTCACCTAATGCGTGAGAAATGGCAGATGTAAACACATAATCTAACATATCTGCAATCATGCAGAGGGTTTGAATATAGTGTCGAAGTGTCAACCCTAAGTATACTTGAGAAATGCTATAGACACCATAATTACAAATCGCAATCCGTGCAAGGATCCGAATGCGGTCCGTTTGTCTTTAAAACCCTAGTGATGAGAAATGGAATGTAAACACCATAATACAGTATCTTCCATCTGCAAGTTGGTCGAATAATTGACGAGTCTTCGAACCCTAATGTATGAGACATGGCAGTAAACACCATAATTACTGTCTGCCATCATGCAAGGTCCGAATAAGGTGACCGAGTGTTCGAACCCTAATGTATGAGAAAATGGGTAAGTAACACCATAAGTTATTTCATCCATTTGGACTAGACATAGGTTAGGAGTGAGAGAAGCTCCCGCATCTCTCTAGAAACTCTGTTTCTAGGGTTTCAATACCTTATTGAATACGATGGTAGGAGTTAATGCTGATCCCATAAATGTTTCACCTTCTGTAAGTGTTGACACAATCTACAAGGCAGACTTTGGCGTAAACATCATGAGTGATAAACTAGGGTTTCTTAAAAACAAATACGATATCCTTGGTGGTGAGGCTATGGATTCATCGGAGATCAATCCTCATGTATCTGTTCTTGGACAGGATAGCAGTGACTCGGTCCAATCTAGAGGATCTCGTAGGATTAACACCCTAGATATGGCAACTCAGCATAACGAGGGAAGGGTTATTTCGAACGATCCTCAGGAATCAAAGATGGCAGAAGCCTCTGGAGATAGTCCTCATCTGGTGGATCAAATGGTAAATCGCAAAGGAGAACGTGACTTCGTAACCCCCCATCTGACCTTTGATCCCCGGACTTTTGTAGATCGGGTTGAAAGGCTTAAATCGTCTAACCCTAACCTGGCCATCGGAGCCCCTTCGACTCCAGGTACTCCTCGCTGGTCAGATCGTAGTGAGAATGAGCCTTCTGTGTTCCATAGGCTTCCAGATAGCCTGGAAATAGCAAGGAATAGAGGTGATGGGAAATCTCGTGAGGGGATGGAGGGTGATTCAGGTCAGCCGTCTGACACTGTGAGGAAAAATCTACAAGACTTTCTGGGTCAGGAAGAACAAAGGAAGGATATCTCATTCGGTGATAATCTAGATCGCGGAGGTACAAATACTCGAGGAGGAAGAGGCAACAGAGGTCGTGGTGGAGGTAGGGGATCTGGATATCATTCGGGGAAATTGTGGGCTGAAATCACAAATTCGTCTACTAGATCGCAAGTCTCTCTCAGGTACTTCCCTCCTACTGTTAAAGATGACTTTATCAGTGTTGATTTGCCCCCTAGACCTAATCCCCTTCAAAAGTGGGGTTCCTGTTTGGTGGGTTACTTCTTAGGGAAAGGGGTTAACTTCAACTACATGAAGAATAGTGCATTTAGCATGTGGAAGAATAAGGGTCTTAAAGAAGTTTTAGCTAATGGTGAGGGTTTTATTTTCTTTATTTTTGATAACCCTGAGTGTTGCTTTGAAGTTCTGGAGGGAGGTCCTTGGTACATTGGGGGCTTCAATATTATTCTGAAAAAATGGAAACGGATGATGAAATTATCGAAGGATGAGGTGACTAAAGTACCAGTCTGGGTTAGGTTCTATAACATTCCTTTAGAATATTGGGATGATGATGGCCTTGGTAGAATTGCTAGTGCTGTTGGTAACCCTTTGTTTACGGATCAACTCACGGCTAGTGGGGGTAGGGTTGCTTTTGCCAGAGTGTGTGTGGAAGTTGATGCTTCTTCCAAACAACCACCTTCATTCCCTGTAAATTGTGATGGTGAAACAGTTGTTGTGAATGTTGAATACCAAGGTCTTCCTGCTAAATATGAGCATTGTGTTGCTTTCGGCCATGACACAACTAGATGTGTTACTACTCAAGTGGCCAAACTGGTATCTCTCCAAAAAGAAACAGAAGAGAATCCTACTGAGCCTGGCTGGACCACTATGATGGCTAAAGGGAAGAAGCAAGTTGGAGTTAGTGCTGGAGATGAGGCAATCCCTGCTCCTCAGGGTACTCATGGAACAAATGAACAGGAAGAAGCGCCAGGGGAGGTTTCCCTACCTGACCAAATTGAAGCTACTGATGAGGACTTACTGTTGAATAGGGAAGTACCTTCTACAGTTCAAGGAAAAACTTCTGACTCAGTAGCAGAGGACAACAGGCCTGCTGCTTCTCAGAATCTTGCTGGTTCTTCGGCTGTCACCGGGGAAGATGTTCCCTACTTTGAGGGCCTGCAAAAGATGAAGAGCAATTTGGCAGATGTTATAAGCCTTATAATCCCTCAAGACCCAGCATTGCTGGAGGAAGTCCAGAAGTTCAAGGATTCAAATCTTGGTAGTCCTAAGGCTAGTCCTATACCCAATCTTCCAGCAAAAGGTAAATCCTCTGGCAAGAGCAGCAGTAGAAAAAGAAGAGGTAATTCTCAGTTTCTTAGTTGTGGGTTTTGTTTTGTCTTTTGTTCTCTATGACTTTTAAAATAGCTGCTTGGAATATTAGAGGGTTGAATGACCCTTCTAAACATAGAGAGTTAAAAAATTTTGTGGTTAAAGAAGATATTAAAGTCATGGGTATTTTGGAGACCAAAATAAAAGCTGTAAATGAAAAGAAAATTTTCTCTTCTTGTTTAAAGAATTGGTCCTTTTTGTCAAACTCACAACCTAATGAAACTGGCAGAATTTGTGTTTTTTGGGACTCAAATTTTTGTATGGTCAACCAGCTTTCTGCCTCTGACCAACATATTTTTTGTGAGATTACTGATCTTACTCAGGCCTCTAGTTTCCTTGCCTGTTTTGTGTATGCTGATAATAACTACTCTTTGAGAAGGGTCTTTTGTGAAACCATGGTTAGATTATCCCACTCTCAGTCCAAATGTCCCATTGCCTTCTTAGGGGATTTTAATGCTACTAGATACAGTCATGAGAAATTTGGAGGCTCTCAGATTTGGAATTCTTCGAAGGAGGAATTTAATTCTTATATTCTTGCCTCTGAGCTTGACGATTTGTCATATTCTGGCTGCCAATTTACTTGGGCTAACAAGAGGGATTGTGGGGAGTATATTGCTACTAAAATTGATAGAGTTTTGGTTAATGAGTCTTGGCTGGATAATTTTCCCAACTCTACTGCTTTTTTTCTACCTTCCACAATCTCTGACCACTCTCCTGTTGTAGTGGTTGTTTCTGATGCTGTCACCTCTTACAAGAAACCTTTTAAGTTCTTTAATTTCTGGTCCAAGCATAAGGACTTTCTTTCTCTGGTTTCTAACGAGTGGAGTCAGTATATTCAGGGTGTTCCCATGTTCAGAGTCTGTCAAAAGCTTAGAAATTTGAAACCTGGGTTGAGAGACCTTAACAAGAAAGATTTTAGTGACATATCTACTAGAGTCCTTGTTGCTAAGTCAGACCTTGAATCAGTTCAATATAAATTGGACAAGGACCTGAGCAATCTGATTTTGCAGAATCTTGAGAGAACTAACTACAGGCATTATGTGGACTTATGTGCTGTGGAGGAGAGTCTTGCCCATCAAAAGTCCAGGGTTGATTGGTTGGGTCTGGGGGATAGGAACACCAAATTCTTTTTTAGATCTGTTAAGAGCAATCTTAACAGAAGTAAAATCCTTAGCATTGAGTTGGAGGATGGTAGCACATCTATAGGGAAGATATTGAAGGTAGAGAGCTTTACTGAGGTTTAAACCAACCTGTGGTTGAGGTCATATTATGTTTCAACGCGGAAATTGGTTTGCTTTATATATTAACTGAAAGAAAGCATTGTTAACACTATTTATTATGTAGATAATGGTTGCTATTTTGCTCAAATGAAGATTTAGATAGATGTCATTGCTTATTAAAATTGTTGGATAGCTTGATGTATGTTATTGGACCAATTTCCTAATACTTAAGTTTCTGATAAAATTGGTGATCTAACATGGTTTCACAGCTTTGGTTCTAGGAGGTCTAGGGTTCAACTCTTGCAATATTTATTTCTGCTCTCCTTATTGTTTGTTATTGTGTTCCATGTTCTATTTATTATTGCAAGATGAGTTGCACATGTGGAGCAGTGTTGAATAGCTAGCTTGATATACATTGTTGGGCCAATTTCCTAGTAGCTTAATCTTTTGAGGCAATTGGTAATCTAATAAGAACAATGTTGGAATCTACTCAATTTTACGATCACCATGCTATTTATGTAGTGACTTCACCATTAAGGCTGAAGCTTTTGTTTATGGGAAGGTCTGTAGATAATGCAGGCTTTGCGAATTCATTGGGTTCTTGCGAAGCAAATCATTTATTTCTCCCATCATGAATCCTTCCCATTAGCCTTTCACTTGGAGGTGTTCACTCTTGCTATGACATTCTCTGTTTTCTTCATTCTTCTTTTGGATAAAGATTCCAGTAGCTTCCATGTAGTTTGTTGATCATGCAGCCTATTGGGCTGCTTCTTGTGCTGGGAGCAACTCTCTTCCTATTAACTGGCGGCATCTCCTAGGGGTGGACAGTGGCTCGTCGTGTGAAGCCCACCTTGGCCTGCCCATAATTTATATGGCCTGCGATCACATTTTAGGGGTGGACATAGGCTGAATGTGGCCTCGTTCCAAACCTAAAGGGTTACATGTCCACACCTATAGAATGAGAGCGAGAGCATGCAATAGAGATTACGTAATTTAAACAACCTGCCTGCCCATAATTTGCAAGGCACGGGATCACATTCGAGCTTTTCTTATTCAAATGGATATGTCCTTTACTTGCTGCATAAGATTTGGTATTTTTTGTTTCGATTTGAAGTTTCCTTAGCAAATTTTTTCCCCCCTCCCTATCTGGAAAGCAGAGGTAATCTAATAAATTTTGAGTTTTCAACTTCATTAAACTACAAAAACAGCCAAAAACTCTCCTTAGGCTTTCTAGTGTCAGTTGACAGTTAGTGTATGTTTTATCTTATCTTGTTTATTTTATTTTTTGTGAATTGCAACATATATTTCTGACCATAAAATAGTAGATGTCTAATTTTCTGTTGGTTCCACATTGTCTGTGCCATACTGCATGTGGAAGGAAGCTACAAGGGATTAGGTGTCTGCCTTTGCCAGGGGTATGATCAACTGATTATGAGGCAGTTATTTCTGTGAGAAATTAGGAACAGCCCCAAAAATTCGGAGCCCTGATTCCCCAAAAAAGTAAATACAGCCATCACAGTATCTGGTCATGCGAACCCCTACTTTTCTGTGGGTTAGATGTATGAAGCGAAGTCCCACATCACTTGAATACTAAAGTAATATTAAACATATAAGCATGAAGGCACCCTCACCTTAATAGCTAGTTTTTAGGGTGAGTTCTACCCAAGACCGTATAACATGATATTAGAGTCGGAGTACTCAAGGATGAGTAGGGTGTGCATTCCTGGCCTGCATGCCGCAGGTGCTGCCGAGTGAGCATGCCAGGCATGGGGGAGGGTGTGAAGCGAAGTCCCACATCGCCTGAGTACCAAAGTAATATTAAGCATATAAGCGTGAGAGCACCCTCACCTTAATGGCTAGATTTTGGGGTGAGTTATACCCAAGACACCGTGTAACAAGATGAACAATCTAAACTATGCAGTTTGAATGAGTTAAGTTGATGTTCCACACTTGAGACATTTTAATGTTTTTAGTCTCATAATTTTGTTAGTAGATGTTTTGGTTGAAATATCTACTAAATGTGGGCATGCATAATATGTATTGTGCTCATTCAGAATTCAAAATCGTCAATGTCTGTACCCTAGATAAGCTTCATATTGAAAGCGCTGACCTCAGGCCTCAAAGCTGTTGTTGACAGATATGATTCTGATAGTTTCACAGGATGAGCTCCTAATTAGATGTCTTAAATAGATATAAAGGTAGTGCCTAAAAGAAAAATAGCAACATCATGTCTCATTGCAAAGGACTTTATGTGACTCAAAGGATGCAGGAAAATGGCGTCTGTCAACTAAATGAAGCTATCAATTTTAAAGATTGTGCTGTTCTGCGAGAAAAGTTACAATTTTAGCACTAAACAGACTACTACTGGGAAACAATGTTGATCTTCAATCTGATGATAAAATTGATGATTATCATGGATCTTTGGAAAACTATATATAAAGAACCTAGAGAGAGAGAGAGAGAGAGAGAGAGAATCTCAAGTGATGTCTGTGCACAGTAATGGAACTCGAACTTGCTTATTAGTCTGCTTATCAAAAAAATAAAATAAAATCATATTTGTTGTTTGTTTAATTTTGATGCCTTGTGCATCTCATTTATTTCACATCCATATCTAGCTCATCCATATTTTCGCATCTTGTCATGTCTTTAAAAATGCTGTCATTCTTAAGATGGTTGTATTTCTCTCTCCCTCTCTTCTTTCTTTCCCACTCCCCCTCTGAAACATATTTCAATGGTCAAATATGTGCTTCAGCATAAAAAAAAACCCATTTATCTATCAATGTGACATGTTGACACGGCTTGAACTGTTTGGCATACAACCAAACAGACGTTATATATTCTATATTTTGGTATTTTGCATCATTTTGTTTTCTAATATCTTCTTTCTTCACTGATTGTCATCATGTAATACCAAACGCATTCCTGGTAATATAGATCTGACATTCTTACAAGCGTTATGAATGTTGAAATTGTCTTACATTGTCATTGAATTCGTTTTCTGTGTTGACCATTACAGCTTAAGCAGAAGATAGCCTCAGCTACTTCGGCCATCAAATCTGTCTTTGGACAAGAAGATACTCGGCCGGATCCTGTAAGCCTGTTGCACCTGGAGCTGGTGTTTATAATGTTTGTAATACAAAGTTCGTAATTTTCTGTCTGCTTTATTTATAGGCTGAGAAATTAGAGCGTTTACGGGATAGGATGATCAAAGTACGGGAGCTTTTTCATGACAAAGATTCAACAGAATTTGTCATTGTAACAATCCCCACGGTAATTGATCACTGTGTCTATAAACGTGGTGTATGTTTGGTTGCAGTTGCAACTCTATAGGTTACAGTTTGAGCAAAAATACAACTTATTGTCTTGTCACGTGAAGAATATGCAGCTACAGATCATGTCTCCAAGAGATGACGCCATTCAGTTATTGTGCCTTTTGTGCAGAGTAATTTATATGGATCCTGTGCTTGAATGTTGGCCAAATCGGTTAATTACACTTTGAATCCTTCCACCTTCACATAAACTCACTTTGGCCCCTTCACTTTCAATTGTGACGACAACCCTTTGTACTTTTAAGTCAAGTTGCAATGTCATTCTTCCATTCATCTAGCGTTAGTGAGGCTGACAGAAATTGGTGCGTGAACTACATGACATTTTTCTGAGGGCACAATTAAAATTGGGTGGATCAAAGTGGGATTTTGGTAGAAGTGTGGGGGACTAAAAGGAATTTTTAGTGAAAGTGTAGGGGTGCTAATTGGGCGCCAAAAATGTCACATGTGCTTTACATGCCAATTTCCATTAGCCTCATTAATGCCAAATAGAAGGAAGGGGTTGACTCTCATGATTAAAAGTGGAAGGGTGAAAGCGGGATTTTGGTAAAAGTGCAGGGGTGCTAAGTGTAATTAACCTTGGCCAAATTGTTCAATGCATACTGACTTGGAACAATACAACCTTTGAATCTTAAAAAGACTAGTCTGAAATACTTGGAATAATAATAATTTTAGCTGTTATTGAGTATTGCTGACTAGCAAAAAGTTAGTTTGGTTTATCAGTATTCTACTAGGAATCTTTCATCGGAACTGTAGAATGACCTCTCTTCAAAACTATTCTTCTAAGGTGATGGCGATTAGTGAGTCATCAAGGTTGCGTGCTTCCTTGAAGAAGGAAAATGTTCCTGTCAAGAGGCTTATTGTTAATCAGGTCCTTCCCCCATCTGCCTCGGACTGCAAATTTTGCGCAATGAAAAGGAAGGTATAATCTATTTACTATCTTTTTTGCCAGATTATATGTTTTTACTCTGACTGTCATATATGATGAACTATATTTAATGTTTTGAATTCTGCCCATTATTCATAGAAACTTAATTCATAATTGATGTGTGTAATCTAAAATTTTTGTCATAGTCCTTGCGGTTCAGAATCTGATCTGATTTTACTTTGAAAGGTTGACGTAGTTGACATTTTTGCTTTTGTATAAGTGGAATTAGATTCAACAATTCCATTTTTTTCTATTTAAATGTTACAGGATCAAATGCGTGCTCTTGATATGATCCAGAATGATCCAGAACTCTCTGGTTTGTCGTTGATCCAGGCACCCCTTGTTGATGTGGAGATCAGAGGTGTTCCAGCTCTTCAGTTCTTAGGGGACATTGTTTGGAAGTGAAAATCTTTTTGATGATATCAATGATTCAACATTATTGGGTAACAACTTTAACACTTCTGTAACCTTTTCTTTCACCCATTTAAACCAAGTTATTTTTTAAACTAGCATTTTCTAGCAAAATATTTATGAATAAAATGGGGACTGAATGTTATGGTATTCCTATGAAACATGGGTACTTCGAAAAGCATGTTGTACCCATACGGGGTACTTACCGACATATGGTACCTCGTATGATTACTTCTACATACGTACCAGGCGCACAAAAGACGCACTCAAATTTTTTCTTTTAATTTTTGACGTATCCAAGCGTACCTAGTATATACTCAAGCCGTACCGTACCTCAATTAAAATAATATTTCCTTCTACTACAAAGATAAAACTCATTTCACTAAATTTCTTTTTTATTTTTTGTTTTATGCTTAGCATAATTTTAAAATTAAACTATGGTTTGTAAGTTATTTAATATATTGATATTTAATTTTGATTTGTACGTTTATTTTTGACATTAAATATTAATTGTAGGTTGGACCTTAACAAATTAAACTATTTAATTAATTTTTGCATTAGTTTAAATTAAAAATAAATATTTTTTTATAAGCGTACCAAGGCGTATCGCTATTTTTTTTTTATTTTTTTTTTTTGAATTTTACCATATTGATGTACCCGTATCGTACCAATACCAGTGCTCGTACCCGTACCCGTGCTTCATAGTGGCATTCTTTTATCTGCCAAACTTTGATGTTGGTAGTACTAACTACCCGGTGGTTTGAGGGACATATTATGACATGGGATTAGAAAATTTTGAATTGGTGGTGGATTTTAAAGTTCTGATCCAAGGTATTCATGTAAAGAGATTATTGTAAGATTTCTGAATGAAACTGTATATTCAATTGTGTATAATACAAAGAGCACAATTGATTTATATAGACCTAATTGAAAAAACCCAGCCTACACTTATTTTAAAATCCATGTATTAAGGACAAGGAAACTAAAACGTTATAACTAGCACAAATGGAGCAACTTCAGACTATGTGGGATACATTCCAACGCACCCTCTTGAACCACAACATACACTAGCCGAACAAATACACTAGCCGGACAAATGACACACCAGTCATAGGCCCAACCAAGCTTTGAAACCAAATTGAAAAGCTTTCTCTCTCTCTCTCTCTCTCTTAAATATTATAATATGGTATCAGAGCTATAGGTTGTAATATGGTAGTAGAGTTATAGGTTAAGCTTTTGGTGTTCTTCTCCTTACCGAGGGACGACAACCTTGGCTTGGCCACCCGCCAGACCTTAACCTATTCCACCGTCATATTTTCTTGTCAATATCGCTTCGTGGTGATCTCTTTCTTTGTCTGCTGGTTTATTCCTACCTCAAATATCTCTATCATATTTTTTTTTTACAATTGAAAAGTCCAACCCACACTTCTTAAAACCAAGGTATTAAGGAGAGAGAAACTGGAGCAATCACAGGTCCAACCAAGCTCTGATACCAAATTGAAAAGCCCAGCTCACACTTTTCCTTAAAACCTAGGTATTAAGGAGAGCGAAACTGAAACTTTATAACTAGCACAGATGGGGCAACTCCAGGCGATGTAGAACACATTCCAACAGACCTAATCTAAAAAAAGAAATAAGAATAAACTTATATATTCTTACAATCAATCTAATATATTTATATAATTAACATAATACTTTCACACTTCCGTTCAAACTCAAGGTGTTTTAGGAGAAAACACTAAGAGTTCGCTAAGAAGAAATTAAAAACGAGCAATGATGTGAGTTTTGGTAAAGAAGTTAGCAAGTTGTAGTGCCGAAGAGACGAAAGGAAGTGAGATAGAGGCAGACTGCAGATGCTGACGAACAAAATGACAATCAATCTCAATGTGCTTCGTCCGCTCATGGAAGACAATGTTATGGGTAATCTGATTAGCACTGTGATTGTCACAATAAAGAGAGGTTGGGAAACACTGAGGGACACCCAAATCAGACAAGAGACAATGAAACCAAATAATCTTAGCAGTGGCGTAGGCCATAGCACGGTACTCAGCCTTGGCAGTGACATGTGAAACAACAATCTGTTTCTTGCTCTTCCAAGAAATCAAGGAATCACCAAGAAACATGTAGAAGCCAGAAGTGGATTTGTGATCAGTGACATCATCAGCCCAATCAAAATTAGCATAAGTTACCAAGTCAAAAGAGGAAGTAGAAGACAACAATAAACCCTAGAATATAGTACCCCGGAGATAGAGAAGAATCCGAACCAAAGCAGCCCAATGTGTAGAACGAGAAACAGAAATGAACTGACTAACCACATGAATAGCATAGGCAAGATTAGGGCGAGTAACCGTCAGATAGACTAAGCAACCCACGAGCTCTCAATATAAAGTAGGATAATCCAAAAAAACACCATCAGTAGTGGTGAGCTTTACATTAAGCTCAATGGAGGTATCAGAAATCTTAGTGTCAATAAGACCGATATGATGAATAACCTCATTGGCATACTTGGCCTGCGCTAAAAAGTAGCCCTTAGGAGAAGAAGCTACCTCAATTCCAAGAAAATACCACAATGGATCCAGATCCTTCATTTCAAAGGTGCGGAAAAGATGCTGATTAACCTCAGATATAGCAGAAGAGTCAGAACCAGTGATGATCATATCATCCACATACAGTAATAATGCAACAAATCCAGTAGAGGTGTAGAGAAGAAATAAAGCCCCTAAATTTGG